TTGCTTAAGTCCATAAAAGGATTTCTTCAGCTTACAAACATAGTCTTCTTTTCCTGGAACTGGAATCCCTCTGGTTGAGTCATGTTAATTTCCTCTTCTTACTCTCAATGTAGGAAATTTATCTTCACGTCTAGCTGCACGAGCTCCAAGTCATAATGTGCCACTATTGCTAGTAGCACCATGATCAAAGTATGTCTGAACACTGATGAGAAAATCTCATTGTAGTGAACTCCTTCCCTCTGACCAGACTCGAAATCCCTTAACTCCATCTCCAAAACCCACGATAGTAAATAGGAAAACCAAAAACTTTCAATCAAGAGTAGTCAGCAGGCTTACCATACCACACCTCATAAGGAGTTTTACACTCAATACCTGTGTAAGGTCCACGGTTGATGAGGTAGCACACCATGTTTACTGCTGCCCTGAACCTTCTCTCTAGTCCATCATTAGAGAGCATGCACCTTGTTCTCTCCAACAATGTTTGGTTCATCCTTTCTGCAACGCCATTCTGCTGTGGTGTGTCTCTAACAGTCCGATGATGGGCATTCCCTTCATCCTTACAGAATTCATTGAACTCAAAACTACAAAACTCCAGACCATTGTCTGTTCGAAGTCTCTTGATCTTCTTCCTGGTCCGATCTTCACCAAATTCTTCCACTGCTTGAACTTCGTGAAGGCTTCACTTTTCTACTTTATCATGAAAATCCAAGTAAATCTTGAGTAATCATCAATAATAGGCAGAAAATTTATGCTGCCTCCAATGGATTCAACTCGTGAAGGACCCCAACAGTTAGAGTGGAGGTAATCCAATATCCCCTTCGTCCGGTGGATACCCTTATAAGGAAACTTACTCCGATGTAGCTTCCCAAACACACAATGCTCGTAGAATTCCAAACTCTGCATCTTGTGCCCGCAAAGAAGATCCCTCTTTTAAAAAACTTGAATCCCTCATTTACTCATATGACCCAATCTCATGTGTCAAAGAGTGGTCATATCTTCCTAATGAACCTAAGACGATGCAACAATAGCAGAACCTGACGACACAGACCATTGTAATGCATACAAGGTCACATGCGCCTTTCAGCACCTTCCTCAAACCATTGCAGACATAATTAACTCCACATCTTCCTTTGAAACTGAGACCCCTTGCTGTCGAGAAGAGTCAATGAGATCAGATTCTTCGTCATTTGTGGAACATGCCTGACTTCGTTCGCTGTACAAAATAAACCATCATGTGTCCAAATCTTGATAGACCTGATTCCAATCACCTTGCAGACAACTTCATTAGTCATAACCACGTTACCACCATCTATCCACTCGTAGGTTGAGAAGTAGTCCTTATTCGGAGACATATGATATGAGGCTACAGTATCCAGAAACCACTCATAGCCACGATGTGCCTTCTCATCTATAACCAAGGCAAGATCGTCTTCAGTACTGTTGTCCACTTCTGCCACGACAACAGAACTTGGTTCTTTTGATGACCTCTCTTTCTTAGACAATTGTACTTCCAATGCCCAATTTCCTTACAGATGTGACAGGCATCGCTTGGCTGTGGACCGGGACCCTTAGAAATCGAGTTTCTGTTCGAATTCCCTTTATCATATTTCTTCTTTCCTGTTCCACTTGTGACAACCAAACATGATGCTTCACCACCTATACCAGATCCGAACGCCTTATGCCTGATCTCTCTCGTATAAAGAGAAGATTAGACATTTTCCAATGACAATCTATCTTTACCAGCAATACAAGAATCCACAAAATTCTCATATGAACTCAACAAAGAAACAAGCATGATTAGGGCAAAATTTTCATCATCAACCTTAACTTCATGATCTGACAATGATAGCATGATGGTCGGGTGAGTCTTCTCCTCTAGGGTATTCCTCTCATTGTCATCAACCGCTGCCTTCTTCTGTTTTGCAGACAGCGGCCCCCACAGCCCTTGTTGTTTCAATAAAGTCTGCATCTTGATCTTCCATATAGCGAAACTGTTCCTCCCCGTGAAATTCTCGATCTTCATGTTTATTGATGTCATTCTTCATATTCAAAACCCTAGCATGATTTCCAATCGGAGCTATGATACCATTTGTCAAGACTGTTTTCTGCGACTAGGGAAATATGAGGATTCGACAATGCAAGAAAACGAAAGCACAAACACACACACGACACACAATTTACATGGTTCACTAGTACATTGTGTGTTAGCTAATCCACGGGGATGAGAGAGCCAGTTTCACTATATTTCGAGAAGATACAAATTACAGAGGAGTATGAGAAGTATTTATAATACTTCTCCAAGCCCTAACCCTAATCCAATATGGTAAAGGAAAAGCAGTTACAAACCAGACGCAAGCCACGAACCAAAACAACATGGAGCCCCTACACCGTGGGCTGGGGGCGTTGCCCCTGCACCCGTACTAGGGCGTTGCCCCTGGACCGCCATGACTTCCAGTCGTAGCGACTGATAGTCTGATTCAAGTCATTCAAGTCACATCAACATTAATACTGAAACCTCCTTCATCCCTTATATAATTCATCAAATGCAACAACTTAGTACATGATAGAGACTTGCCTCAACTGCCATTTGAGTAGGGGTGGCAAAACATTTACAGTTATGCAGTTAAACTGCTAACCCGCACTAAAATCACGCAATTTGTGGTTAAAATCAAACAAAAAATAGGCTCTTAAGCGGTCGCGATTAATGATATCGACTATTTTGCGGTTAGCGGTTTAACCTAAACCAGAACTGAATAAGAAATAACCGCAACTAACCTCGCGGTTTGCGGTTAACTCAAACCAAATAAGAACTTCAGAGCTCCTTCTAGTTCTGCCTTGCATGTTGTCATCTTTGAAATCCACTTTTCTAAATACAAGGGCTTCTACGAGACACCATCGACCACGGGATACACACCGCCTCCTTACCCATCGGTCGTAGCACGCCAATACCTTCGTCCGACACCATGTTGCTGTAAAAACGTTTTGTACTGCAGTTTAGCGCGGTTAACCGGTAACCTCACTTTGAGTTTAATGTTAACCGCTGACCGTATGTGGGCCGGTCGCGGTTGGCTTATATGGCTCCATTTCGGTTGCGATTAATCGAACATTCTGGTGCGGTTACCCGCAACTGCTTCGATTGTCAGCCCTACATTTGAGGAATTGCAGAACAAGATTACAATTCCAGCACCATTTGGCAAGCCGAACCTAGATCAAATTAAGGTTTAGGTAAGACATATATTGGGTACTCAAAGTACGATACATATTAACCTACTGCTACCACTTCTGCTTCCACTGCTGCTGATTATTGCTGCTATTGATGCTGCCATGGTGTGAGAAGACACTTTAAAAACAAAGAAATTATTGAAGAAAGAATACACAGAAAAATTGACGGTATTACCATACTCGAAGTTTTCCAGTATCTTCCATTTAGTAGATACTCTTCCTTGAACTCCAATGACCTCTTCATCAAAATCTCGACCTCTTGAAGCAGCGACATGAGGTAGGAACAAGAAAACAATCTATGATTTCCTAGAGAAGGGAATGAGAGAGTTAAAAGAAATCATAAATTTAAACCAAGAAGAGGTATGAACTTTACCATTTTTTTGCGCCATCAATCTGTTCGGCTTCGCTTGAAATAAGATTGAAATAAGAGGAGAGGATGTTGATTCGCAATGGCCGAGGTGCGAGGTGATGTCGACTCGGTAAGAGGAATCATTCATCTTAGCAAAACTATAGATCAGAAGTGATCTCTTTGGGAGGGTTTTGTCTAAGGGAAAGGAAAGAGCGAACAAAAAAAGTATATTTTCATTGCATTAGGGAACAAAAGAAAATTATTGGTGGATTTTTTTGTGGGAACCAATTTTTTTTTATTTGTTGGTAGGAAATTATTGAAGCCAAACGAAATTTTGGAGTCAAAATTTTCCATCAAAAATTGTGGAAGTTTTTTGTCAAAGAAAATTATCACATGGTTGTCAGGAGTTAATGAGTACTAGTTATTAATCACGGAAAATGAATAATAAAAAAACATGTGAATCAATTTCCGTGACTAGATATACAACAAAACACATGACTTTTTCCGGTGATGATTAATGTATTATATATAATTTGGAAAGTCTTCGTGAATAAGATCGTGTAATTAGAGACCCATTTTCCCATATCGTATGGAGTTAATGGAGAACAATCTTGAAAATCGGATGAGTGGCAATTTTTGAATGAGTGACAAAAAGTTTGATGCGTAACATAATGATGGTTGGATTTTACACACTTTTCAAAATATGTAAAAATCATTATGATTGGTTGTAACAAGCAATGAAATTGTGTACTTCGCGGGGTAAATTTTTATTTATTATCTTGATTTCATCCTTAAACAATCTCTAAAAAATCCTCATATGGCACTATTTATCGATCGGCCACATTTAATAAGAATAATAATTTTTGGAAAAAACATTTAATTTTATATGTTCATTAATATGTTTAGATTATATAGTTTGAGCCTCATCATACTCCATCCATACCCGTAATCAAACACAAATCAAGTGAAAGAAAGGATAATATATGTAATTAGTCTGACCTTGCATCTCTTCATTTAAAGATTTCCCCACAATCACGAGAGGGGGAACACAAACAAATAAATATAAAGTATATAAACAAACCTCACATATAAAAACAAATATTCCATCAATGAAAATGATGAAAATTATCATAAACCAATCATGATGACGAGAAGAAAAAAAAATATTGTTAGTTCAAAATGAGGAAGAAACAAAAGCCAGAGTGATGTCTCTCTCTCTCTCTTCCTATCCTCTACACAGCCATCACCAGTTAGACCAATATAAAATCTCTAGGGTTTGTGTCTCTCACCCTTGTAATATTTTTTTTAAAGAAAAAATTAACCTCCATTTACAAACCCTAATTCATCAAATGAATAATTTCATTTGACCGTTCCCCTCCAAATTACCTTTCATTTTTTTTTTCTCTTTTTCAGGTGTGGATAAAAGTTATTAAAAATAGGATTGGCTGTCAAGGGAGCTGGAGTGTTGCCGACCATCGTGCTTGTCCTGATCATTTCCGGCGCCGTTCTTCTTCTTCTTATTCTTATTCCCGCCGCCGCACGTGATGGTGATCTCGCAGCCGCACGCGTTCCCGAAGCAGGAGAACAACCTCGTACCTTCCGACTTCCGCCGCTGGTGGTGGTTGTTCCCCTTCCTCCTGCTCCTGGACTGCATCTTCTTGACGTCGGTGTCGTAGATGGGAGGGAGCTCCGTCCTCCACCTCTCCAGCTTTGTCCTCAGCCCTTCCACGCTGTCATTCTCCGTCCAGTCGTCCAGCACCGAGCTTCCCGCATCGTTTCCGCCAGCTGGCGTCCTGATCAGCCCCTTGGCAATCGCCGCCGCCACCACCGACGCCGACGGCCCAACGTCCGAGCACTGGGACCCACCCACCATGCTCCCGTTCCCGTTGCCGCTGTTGTTACGATGGTTGTTGGTGTTGTTATTGTGATGATTTCCTCCTCCATTTTCCTTTCTGGGGACGATGGAGGAGCTAACCAGGGACCCGCCACCGACGTAGCTGGCCCCCACCACAGAGCTTCCCCTGCGGCCACGGGTGACGTGGGTGTCGTTGTCGGCTGAGGTGAGGTCGGTGCGGTCGCTCTTGGTGCGCCGAAGCTTGGCGGTCTTCTCCTCCAGATTCTTCGCACCACCGGCGGCGGCCTTGGCGTCGAGGAGGTCGTTGAACCCGACGCCGGAGGCGGAGAGCTCGGTGTAGAGCGGCATGGAGCGCATGGTGTTGTCGAGGAGCTGCACCCCCATGTTGAGGATCCCTTGCGGCCGACCGGAGGGGCGGCGGATCTGGAGCGCGACGAACCGCATCTTGGCGTTGTTGTGGTGGTTGTTGCCGCTGCCGGAGGAGGAGGGGAAGAGGTTGCTGATGAGAACGCGGACGGAGCCGATCTGGACGTCGCGGAGCCAGGCGGCGGCGTAGATCTCGATCATGATGGCGGAGCTTTCGGCGTCGAGGAAGGTGTCGTCGACGCGGAAGACGAACTTCTCGTTCCACTGAGGGTTGGTGTTGCCTCCCTGGTCGACCTTTGTGCTAAGCTTGCGCTCCGGGTGGACCCACACCACCGCGTAAGTTTTCATGGATTTCGACACGGGGGCCAGGTCCTGTGCCGAGATCACGTTGATCTCCAACAGCTGGAACGGGTGCGTGTTGTACGTCATCGTAGGGGCGGCGGTGGCGGTGGTGGTGGTCAATGGCCTTCTTCCTGCTGTCGTCGCCGTCCTGCCCCCCTATATAATAATAATATATAAGGTAGATATGATGTGGACGCAGCGCGAGAGAGAGGAGAGAGAGATTAGGAGATGGATGGGCAGGGAGGGCTATATGTCTCTCGTTGTTTCCCCGCTGCTCACCCACCGCGTGAGAGGCTGGAGGGGGAACAACGAGATGGGCATAAATGGATTGAGGGATGGGGGGACGATGAGATTGAGACTAATTTAGAGTTTGACGAAATGAAGGGGGGGAGCGGGGATGGAGGATGTTTAAGGTTATTATTTGATTGAAGATGACTAATAATAAATAGGGGAACAAGGAGAGGAAAGCCTGTTTTCCTGCTATTAACGTTATGTACGTGGTTTAATTCGCGGGTTTGACTCCTCTCCACCAGTCGTAAGAGTTATATACATTAGAAGACTTTGTGTGTATACAGTAAACGTATATACATTGGTGATGTTTATCAATGTGCTAAATGCAAAAACTATTTAAATTTAATAGTTTTGAGTTATTGGGCTACATAATTCTTAAATGACGTCAAATTTTTTGTTGATCAAGAGAGAGATCATATGTTTATATTCCGACAATTTCATTATGGACAATCACAAAATTCATTAATAATCAAGGTAAACTGTAAACTTCGATTTGGAGGTCTATAAAAGTGTTGTACACTCCCACAAAAAAAAAAAAAAGTGTTGTACACATTTATAATATGTCAAATCTAGGTTGCAGACTATTTCGAACTGCTTAATCACCGATACAAGTTCAAAATAGGGCTGGAGGTTTGGTTATCGGTTGCCGGTTAACCGACCGGTTAAACCGATAACCGGCGGTTACCGGTTGACCAACTAACCGAAATTAAAGGGCTTGGGCGGTGTTGGTAGCGGGGTTGAGAGGCCGGTTAACCGGCTAACCGACAGTAATAACCGCCGGTTAAACCGACTAACCGGCGCATCAATCACCCAGTAAAAACGACGCCGGCCCACCCCTCCTTCCACGTAAATTGAGACATTAATTTGGTATTTGAATCTATTTTCTATTAAAAAATGATTGAAACTTGGCCTGTGGAGTGATTTAGATGTAGAAATGTAGGGCTGAACGTTTAATTTTAGGCAATTTTAGCGAACTTGTTTGTATAGGGGCGCTGGCCGGTTCGGTTGCCGGTTCGATTACTCGGTTTAAACTGGTTTGCATGATGTGTTGCGGTTACCACGGTTAACCGAGCAACTAACCGGTAACCGACCAGTCGGTTGTCGGCTAACCGATGGATTCCGTCGGGCGGTTGGCGGTAGACGAGGCTGGCGTCGCGGTTAACCGGTAACCGACATTTCGGTTATCGGTTAAAATCGATCTAACCGAAAATCCAGCCCTACTTCAAAATACTTCTAACCTATTACAAGAACACTTTACCACAAACTTCATTCAATATGGTGTTTCCTAATCAGGCTACTTCCATAAGTACCCTTCTAACAGACCCGACAACTTCACTATGTTGAGCGAACTTTCCGCCATGAGCTCTGCAGCATAGCTCCCTTTAGAGCAGACTAAGTGTTGCATTCCAAACCGTTTTCCCCACTTCATCTTTTGGCTTTACCCCGCAAATTTCTGGACTCCCCATTTCAGATAGCCCTCAAACTTCCACCTCCCTGTTTAGGTATAGCCAAGGATTCTCAAGCCATTACAACTTTAGTTCTTCTTGAACCTTCTTCAATACCATACAAGAACTTACTACATATCGTCTCAATCTCCTTTATTACCGTACGTCATATGAAGCAGACACACATTCATCCAAAATTGGTTTAGACTACTTAATACCGAGTTTCTGAGTTTTAGCTTACCATCATAGCTAAGCAATCTGGACTTCCAACCATTAATTCTTTTAGTTATTTTACAAATTATGAGGCCGTTAGGATGGTGTCACTGACACTTTCTTTTACAAAACGTGATTGACTCTTGCTTATGATATTGGGCAAAACTTGTGACAACCTATTAGCTAAGATTTTTTTGCAAGGCATTTGTATAGCACATTGCAACAGGATATTGGTGTAAAAAGTTTCATGTGGTCAGCTGCTAGTACCTTAGGGATGAAACGTAACCAAGCATAGTTGAGTTCTTTAGGCAGGTAACCCTTCTCAAAGAAAGATGTTATTGCTTATGTTACTTGTTCACCAACAACACTCAGCGGCTTTAGAGAATTCAACAGTGTATCTAGCATGTCCTGTGGCCTTAATTACTAGATCCCATACTAAAAAGAGAGCTTCCTTGATTTCTTCCTTAGTCACTCTTCTACATAAACCTTCACTCTTTGCTTCAGGAAGCTTATTTACTAAATAGTTCTTAGAACTTTTGTAATGGTGAAACTCTTCACATAAATGGTTTTCTCTCACAATAGACACTACAAGAAAGTGAACATACGGCACCGCTTTACTTCCAGCGGTTCCCACAACCCCTGCCGCATTTATGCGGATTTACATATAGCAGCAGCCCAATCCAGTGGTTCAAAAATCGCTGAACAAAACAAATATAAAAATCCAACAAATTCCCGAAAGGCTATTTGTCTCATTCTCTACTCTGTTCTCTCCGAATTAAATCCCCAACCCTAGATTCAAATCGTCTCGATTGCTCCGCCAGCATGGTGAAATCCACCAGCATCGAAATTGAATTCTCTGTCCGCGACGGCACCATCTCCTTATGATCTACTGATTATCATCGCCGAGGGTTGTCTTCTCCATTGATTTTCCATCAGCGCCGGTGGGAATCCCTAGTCTCTGCAAGAGCAACGGTATAATCGCGTGACCACTCTGCGAACAATTCAAAGATCTGGCTCACCAGATTTTCCTTCAAGGTAGCCGACTCTTATTTCTTGTGCGATATCATGCACGCGATGTGTGTTTCGAACTCCCATAAGTGACATCGCTAGAGCCATCCTTTGTAGTTAGGCTTCTGGCAGAGATTGCAGCTGAAATCATACGCATGCAGAGGTTGTGGTGACACGGTTCGCCTTAGCTATACTAGAATCCAGTAATGCTCTTCGTGCAAGGCATGCTTCTCAAGTGAGCGGCGGAAGATGCGGCTGCCGACACCACGCGAGGGTTGATTTGGATTCGGGATGGGCAGAGTGGGTGGCGGTCATGGGCAAGCATACCTTACGAAGGGAGACTGAATTGCAGGATTTATGCAGGTGTAGTAGTCTTTTCCTCATGCAAGTTGTCAAGTTACAACCATTGCATGCTATGTCTCCCAATGAGACATCTCGATGCTATCCATGTTGGTGTGCATCAATCAACTAGGTTAATATCGAATGCTAAAGTAAGAATAAAGGCTCTCTCAATATGGGTAGTGCCCTGCTAGTTTGAGTGTTTCTATTTCAGTATTCTGGTGCTGAAGCAATTTCGATCCGTGAAGTTTCCAAAATCCTACTTCAAATAGGCATAATAGTGTCAATGTATTAATATTCTTAAGGTACTTTTGCAGGTGCCATCTATAAATCTTGATGCATAATTGAGTTGCATGACAACATAAAGGTAACAATTGAGGCTTTTATTCTTTTTGTTAGAATTATTATCATCTTTGAAGTTGTGAGCTTGCTATTAATCAAAATCTGAAGTCCTTAAGATCAATTTTATTGAGGCTTTTATTCTTTTCTGGTTGTCAAGTGCTAAATACATTGGGAATAGAGTTGATCTTATGGGAATTGGAGCAGAGTACTCAAGAACTGAAACTTAGGTAGGCATTCTCAAACTTGTTGTAGAGAACGACAGCTTTGCCCTTATTTCTTTTGTTTCCCTGTTCTTTTGATTGTATGATCTCAAAGTACCTCCTTTGGCTTTTTCCAGGATGCAGTGGGGAAATTTCAGAATCTATCTCCTTGTACTCTAATTATTGATTCGATTCAATCAGTTTTACTTAATGAAGTTGTTGAAAGTCCAGGCGGATTAACATAGCAATTTTGTAGTGAATTGAACTTCAAGAAGCATAATAACAATGATTATAATCTCATTAGAGTTCAATTGTTGTTTATTTTCACTGTCTTTGGTATGTGACTTCGATTCTGTGTAAGTTTTTCTCCACTTAGATTCTAGTTGGTATTTCCAAGCCTTCAAGTTTAAGTGGGAGAAGTGGCTCGTTAATTTACCTAATGTTTATTGCTTTTGATCTCATCTAATTTAAGTTAGGAAATTGCCCTCTATATATGAGCTGGTTTCTACTTGCACAGGATCTTATCAGGATTTGTTGTATTGTATCACAATATGAATTAACTAGTTAATTTCTACCCTTTCTCTGCCTCTCTGTTTCTTTCAAGATGTGCAGAGAAGAAGAACAGCAGCAACCACTAGTCCCTTGCTTGCAACTGCCAACCACAAAAGTGCATCAGAATGGTATAATCTTATCCACTAACTACAATGATCTAAACGAATACACATCCTTATCCTTTCATGCAGAACTTATTAGTCCTAGAATGTCGTAATAGTCTAGTTTATGATCATGTTATTTACTATTATTTTTTACTCAATTTAATTTGAAACTTTGATCCATGCCGGAAGGAGTATAACTTTGGTGTTGTGCCTGTTGTAAGCATTGAACTTGAAGGTGCACTGGTGTTGGATTCTTTTTTAATGATGTTGTACGAGCTTGCCTGGATTAATACTTAAGCAATATTTAATATTATTCTCTCCGTGTGTGTATTAACTGTTGTATATATTCACTTGATGTGAATTACTACAGAGGCTCCAGAGCCAGTTGACAAGTTGAGAAGAAGATATCTGGTGGATCGCATGATATAGGCAAGTTGTGTTGTTGATAACCATACTTCTCACCTTCTATTCCTATTAAGTATTCATGAATTTGGATTCATTGCCTGTTTCTTTCCCATGGTTTGGTTACTTTTCGAGGAACCATTGTTGCCTTTCCTTTAATGGGCAGAAAAGGAAGGAAAAACATGTTGGGCACAAGCTTTTTCGAAATGGTACCCATCAGTTTTACTTGTGTAAGTTCTAATTTTCCAATGAATCGTGTTCTGTTTCTTACTCGTTTCCCTTCTCGACATTCTTTGTTGCACAATCAGATGTTAGCTTGATGAAATCCATGACTGATTAGTTTATGAGATTCTCTTCTGTGTTAACTAATTGAACTAAAGGTTGTGTATTAGACATATGCTCATGTTTTTTTCTAGAATTGAGGGACTGATCATATATGATATTTGTTTGGTTGGCCTTGTAACAGGCTATGATGAGTTTCAAAAGAAAGCTCTGCAATGTATGGCTTGGGCGATTCAAAAGAAAGCCAAGTTTGATATTGTGGATCTTAATAACTTAATTTTTGTTGAAACATTATTTCTTTGGTTGTGAGCTGTTTCTTGAGTTTATATTTTGTCAATTTCCTTTTGTATGAGTATAGTGTACTGTGAGGGAAGTTGGCAATTTGTTGCATGGATAATAGGTAATGTAGACTTTACGGGTCAGAGTATATAAATATATGAAATTGAAAGGTATCAGCAGGTATTCTTTTGAATGTTTTAGCGACGGAACTCGTTTTCGTCGCTAAATTCGTCGTTAAATCTACTTTTCGGTGGTTTGGGTGAGCTGTGGAATATTTTGGAGCATAATGGTCAGTAGCCAGGGTTTTAAAACCGTTGCAAAAAACCTTAATTATCGCTGCGAAAGCTAGGTAGTGACAGAAGTTCTAATAGCGACGGTTTAGTCGCAGCAGAAAACCGTTGCAAGGACATCCACCAGGGGTTGTCCTGACCGCTGGCATACATTTGCGGCAGTCCTCTTTGCGACGGTTGCCCAGCGGCTACAAAAACCGCTGCCGGCCTACTTAGCGACGGTTTTTTCCGTCGCCAAAAGTTTAAAAAACCCCTGCTGTTGGCAGTTTCCTTTGTAGTGAGATACATATAGAAGTCCTCTGCTATTCTTTCCAATCTCTTCCACATAAGTCTCAACCATTGTTCATTAGCAAGACTATATATTATTCGCGCAATTGGATTATTTTCTTGTTTGTTGATCTAAGTAAATTTACCGCCAACTAGTTTATGCTCTTCCAACTGCATATCCTCGAGCTCCTCCCTCCTCTTAATCCCCTGTAACCTCCTTCTTGTTCTCGGCCTCGGCCTCCCAGTATTGCAAAAAAAAAAAATGTATGTGGTCAATCATAATTTTCCAAGATGCAATTAACTTTGCCATATTAGCCTTAGCTGTGGGTTTGTGGTGTCAAACCTATAAAAAGAAGAACTATATATGTATCGTGAATGGGGTAGAGCCGATTATAGTGAAATCTAAAAAGTATTATCTCTCCCGTTGACGCAGTGTGTACCTGGATAAAATTGCAAATTCGTTGATCCCGCTGGATACCGATCGAACGAGCAATCGTCACTAATCTATTGATTCTGGGAATTACTAGATCAATAGCATCAAGATCGATTCACAAAGACTCGAACTATTGGAAAAAGAGATACGCGCTCTGCAAAACTTCGATTCCTGAAAAACTAATGATACCTTTGTAATCCGACAATTTATTGCACTTGGAATAAAAAAACCCTACGAAATAAAAGTCCAACACAAAACCCACAAACAAGGCCCCGACGTGCATGGGCCGCCATGCATGGGTCACGTACCTTCCGCTTAATTTTGCTTCATCTTGTCTCGACTCTCCAAGGAACTGATTCTCCACATCCGTCACTGCATCATCTTCCCCTTGGTGAACAGTACAGAATTCGCCCTCGAATTGTCGTCATCCGAATCATCACTAGCAAGTGGAACCAGATGTTTAACATTGAAGACATCCGACGTGCGCAGATGGTTGGGAAGCTTGAGACGGTAAGCGTTGGGGTTGATCTTCTCGATGATTTCCATGGCCCGATCTTCCTGGCCGACAGCTTGTTATAGTCCCCAACAGAGAAGCAATCCTTGGTGAGGAAAACCCACACAAATTAAATCGCCCACGTCGAACTCTACATGTCGTCGTTTCTTGTCGACTGCCTTCTTGTACTTGCAGTGAGTGCGAGTTTTATCAGGTAGTGCCATCAAATCAAGCAGCATATATGCGCGGGGTACACGCATAAAGCCATAAACCACACGGAAACGGGCTGAAACCGGTGCTCCGGATCACTGCATATATGATTGTGTGCGAACTCTGCTTGGCACAGGCGCACAGCTTCAAATCCCAGATTTTGACATTTCCCCCACCAAGCAGAGCAACAAGTTTCCCAAGGAGCGGTTAACTTTTTTTAGGAAAAATATTAGTCCTTAATTTTAGAAACAGATAGTTATGATTATTAAAAAAATCTACATATTTAATGTTTCTTTGTATCACTATTAAATTAGGAGGAGTTGCTAAAGGTCGCCCAAAAAAGTATCAAAGTTACACTTTTAACTCCCTTAGCTTCTTTACCTTCCCTTCCTCAAACAAACATCACTTGGACTAAAAAAACACTATCTAAGGAGAGAAAAATCCATCATCGTCATTTTGAAGCCGATATCATAGGTAGAACGTCTGAATCATGAGTAGCGACTCCGACGAGGTAAAAACATTAACTGGGGAAAAAAAAACACAGAAAATGGGAACCGCGGGTCACTTGCGGTTGGACCATGGCTGGACCGCAAATGACCTGCGGTTGGACCATGGCTGGACCGCAAGTGACCTGCGGTTCAGCCACGGTTCAACCGCAGGTCACTTGCGGTTGGGCATTTTTCGAGTTTTTTTTTTCAAATCAGTATTTTCTATTTTTTATATGATTTATGATTTGTTCCATGAAATAATTTGTTGGGTTTTGATTTATATAATTTTCTAGATTTATTTGCATAATTATTTTTGGAATTGAAGGATTTAGCATTAGAAATTAAGAGTAGATTTGGCCTTAAATTAAGATTAGATTTAATTTGGTCTTAATCTAGAAAATTAAGATAGATTTTGCATTACAAATTAAGATTAAATTTATTGCATAAATAATAGATTCGCATATGAAGTTATGATGATTATTAAATTTAATATAGTTATGAAATTTTAAATTTATCATATGGTACTCGTTAAATTGACGATATAGAATGTTAAGTTTTTTTTTTTTTAATTTGTGGGGTATCACTTATAAATTCTGATAACATTGCAGGATATTGGAAGTTACAATCCAGATGGCCGTGATTACACCTCGGATTTCATTGATAGTGTGAAATACACTACGGAGTTGCAAGCATATGAAGCAGCTACTGAGATTGCCAAGGGTTTTGGGTTTTATTTGGTGAGGGCATTGAACAAAAAAAATAAGAATGAAGGTACTTGGCGACATTACTTACATTGCACTCATGGTAGGAAGAAGAAGTCGAAGGAACCTGATCCGAGTAAGGAAAGGAGGCCTCTTACATCTACAGAAAAGTTGGGGTGCGAGTTTCAGATCAAGCTTGAGCGGTCCAGTGATGGATATTGGTTGATCCTAGGGGTAGCAAATACAAAGAATCCTGGTGCTAATTTGGGTTTCCACAATCATCATTTGGAGCTATTTCCGGAGGGATCAAAGGGAAGGAATGTTTTGACTATAGAGGATAAGCAATACATCAGAGAGCTGAGATCAGCCGGTGTCCCACCAAGGAATATCCACAAGGCAGTGAATGACAGAAAAGGTGCAAATGGAACACACAACAGAAAGCAGATTTATAACGAGTGTCACAAGATAAGGAAAGAAGAGCTTGGGTAGATGACAGCCTTACAGTATACTTTCCGCATGGCGCAGGAGAAGGGTTACTATGTGTAGTATATGGACGATCGTAACGTGCTTACACACTTGTTCCTAGCCCACCCCGAGTCAATAGTGATGTTGCGAGTTTGGCACCATGTGATCGTGATAGATGCAACATACAAGACCAATAAGTATGATATGCCTTGGGTTGAGATTGTCGGCATGACACCACTGGGATTGAACTTTGTCATTGCATCTGCAATAGTGTACGACGAGACGAAGGAGTCGTACCAGTGGCTTCTGACGCATTTGCAACATCTTATTGCCCCCATTGTTCCATATGTGTTTGTCAGTGACAAGGCAGGAGGATTGGTTGAGACCGTGGGGGTAATATTTCCATCATCGACTCATATATTATGTCTTTGGCATATAGATAGGAATGTGAGAGCAAAGTGTCTAGCGGAGGTGCGAAGGATGACTCATTGTGGTATAGATGCAGCCAAACCGACAGTGGATCATATCATGGCGTCTTGGCAACGTGCTGTATATGCATTGACAGTGGAAGACATGGATACTGCCTTAGGTAATTTCAGACGTAGTTAGGGAGTACAGTACCAACGTCTTTGGGGGTATATGGCAGCTGAGTGGTTACCAGTTAGACACATGTGGGCTAAATGTTATACCAATCAAGTGCGGCATTTGGGTAACACAAGCTCTAATAGGGTTGAAGCTGCCAATTCCTCCTTCAAGAAGTGGCTTCAATCATCTATTGGCGCTGTCGACACGATTAGTCTCCTAATAAATCTTCATTGATACACACATAAGTTTTAGTAGTCTCCTAATTGTTCTTCATTTGGGTAGGTATTCAAGAAGAACGATGATTACATTGAGGCTCAACACCTTCAAATCAGGAAGCTTCTAGAGGATTCCCGACAAAAGAAGCTGCTCCGAGTGGATGGAAAACCATTTCGAGAGTTGAATACGAAAGTCACTCTAGAAGCTCTAAGGTTGATGTTGTTCGAGGTAGCAGTGGAAGGGGAACCTTGTACATGTACGTTTCCTCCTACCTATGGTCTCCCATGTAGATGTTCCATTCAGTTAGCACGACGTGAAAATCGGGATTTTGCCTTGTATGATGTGTTGCCATTCTGGACCGTTATCAACTATCGTGAACCTCCTACTCGGCCGGAGTGGGATGACCATAGTGATTACCACCGTGGTGTGTTCCAAGGTCTAGTACAGGAGGTTCTTGATAGAGGCGATGAGACCATTCGAGGTGCAATCGGCCTACTCCGGAGCCATCTTCATCCTGAAAATGATGGCATTGATGAACCGCATGGGGGACAACCCCGCCCCGGTCGCCCAAGGACGTCCACCACTCGAAACCTATCTCACTTCGAGCATGTGGAGAGGAGACGAGGGAGGATAAGTTCAAGACTTCCGACTGCAACTCCGGACAATGATGGAAATACAGGTAGATTAACTTTTTCTATTAGTTGTGTTCAATTGTCCTCAATATAGTGTACAACTAATCTATTTTTTTAAATGAGATAGGTGGTGCCCCGAATGTGAATGCACAAACCAACTTCGAGAATGGGACGGAGCCGGTGATCCATAATGATACAGGTTAGAAATTATATTCCTAATTTCGGGTAAACATATTGTAACTCTTTGTATTAATTTATTGTGTTATGCTCTTTGGCTAGATGGTGCCCCGTGGAGGGTTGCTCGGATTCCCAATACTAGTTGGAAGAATTACCCATG